CACTGCTCACAGCAACCTCCAACTCCTGGGCTCAAGTGAGTCTCCTGCCTCCACCTCCCAAGTAGCTGGGACCACAGGTGCCTGCCACAACACCCGGCTATTTTTTGGTTGCAGCCATTATTGTTGTTTGGTGGGTCTGGGCTGAATTTGAACCCACCACCTTAGGCGTATGTGGCTGGTGCCTTAGCCACATGAGCCACAGGCGCCGAGCCATAGTCACTGACTTCTAAAAGCAATACCTCTATTGCCACAAGCTTCCAAATCCCATTCACTTTCCTAGTAGCCATATTCACAACTGCTGACTCATCTTGGACATTTAACAGATTAAAATTCCTGTAATCTTAGCTGGACATCGTGGCAGGCACCTGTAGTCCCAGCTACTCAGGAGGCTGAGGCAAGAGAAATTGCTTAAGCCCAAGAGTTTGAGGTTGCTGTGAGCTGTGACCCCACAGCACTTTACCGATGGTGACATAGTGAGACTCTGTCTCTAAAAAAAAATTCCTGTAATCTTTCTGTCAATTGATTTCATCATAGTATTGAAATACTTTGTGAAGTTGCCACTCCTTGCTTGAAGCTTAAATCTCAGGATTTTGCATTTATTCTTGTTGCACTGTTTAGTCCAGCCTTGTTGAGTTTTCTAAAATAATTCAACCATTCAGCAAGAGGTGGATTATCATGAAGCCAATGAAGTATCAGGGCCCATCATTTGCACAGTCCTTTCTCAGGCCTTATACTAATGTTGCACTGACAACTTTGAATTCATTATCCTTAAAGAGAACATCAAAATTTGTATAAGCCCAACAAAACCAGGATCCACCCTTGCATCTTGGCATATTAGCTACCTGCCCCCACTTTCTATTAGCAATGAATTTGCTAAATTTTTCACCTGTGTCCTTCAAATTATTGACATAAAATTAACAGAACTGGCCTACTTGAGACTCAATCCTTCCTCAGCCTTTGCTTCACCAACGGGAGCCGTACCTTAGTGAGAGAAGTGTCCCAGGCAGAGTAAGCCCATCATTCTCCAGCACCCTCTTTTCCTCATCTGTCATTATCTGTCTAGCAATGTTCTAGGGGTCGTAAGGCAGCAGAGTAGCAAGCGGATGTCAGAGAATGGGGAATCCTGCCCCCATCAGAGCAACCTGAGAAAAATCTTCCTGAAAATTAAGTCACATACCTGCTCCAGCGGCTCCTCCACTCGCAGTGGAATCGTCTGGGCCCCCTGCCTTCCACAGCTCCCGCTGCCTGCAAAAGGAAGGTATGAATAGCCCGGCTCATGAACCCATTCCTTTCCACGAACTTTGCTTATTTCAGAACCACCTAGATCCGTGGAGTCATGTTCGTGTGGGCGGGAGTACGTGATCATGGTGGACAGGGCAGGGGCTGGAAAAGCTGAGGACGTTCAACGATGCTGGGGGACTCAGCAGCGAGCTCAGCAAATCCTCTACGTCCCCGTCGCTCGGCCCCTGAACAGGGTTCAAATCAACAGGCCTTGACTTATCACCATCCCCAGCCTCATGGACGTCGCACGCCCCCCACCAATCAGAACCCCCACCCACCTCAGAAAGCCGCAAGTCCTAGGGCAGTGGCGCCTCCACAGTCACGGTCCACAAGTCTCGGCTTTCCTCTAGCAGGAAGTCCAGTGTGCCCTGGTCATCGGGGTCCAACGCCAGCTCCATTTGGGACATTTACGGACAGGATGGACAGAAGTACAAGGTTTACCCCTCCGCCCGACTCCTAGCGCCGAGGCCCAGGCACGACCCTCAGTCCCATAGTCCGGCTCCCCCACCTGTCACTGCCCCTCTTCCGCCAGGCTTCCCCTCTGAGGGCCAGGGTCGCTCTCAAGTCGGACCTGCCTCCCAGACTCAATGCTCCACAGCTTCCAACGCAACAAAAGGGACGCACCCGACCCCACAGCATTTTGGGACCTGCAGTTCCCTCCGACTCGGAAGTGGCTTTGGGGCCAGGCCACGTCCTGGGGCCTATGCAAATATAAGGGACGTCCCCGCTGCCTCCTCACAACCTGGGGGCGGGGATTCAGGGGAGCCGGCTCCGCCTTCGCCTCAAGCCAGAAAAAGCAAGAATTAAAGAGTCTAAAAGGGAACTCGGGCGGTGTTCGGGCGTCGTCTCCGGATTGTGCCGCACCCTCGCTTCCTGCCGGGGAGGAGCTGCCGATCTTCGGCTGGCTCCCGAGCATCGAGAGCGGAGGCCAGAGTAGCTTCCTGCCGTGCCCGAGACCATAGAGTGTGGGCCCAGGGCGCCGCCCGCGGTGGGGGACGTTCCAGGGACGGAAGTGGCCGAAAGAGTGTCGAGGGAGGGCGAGGCCGGAGCCCGGGAGAGACCCGAGAAGAAGCGGGTTAGCGGGCCGGCGGGCGGGCACGGAGCCGGGCAGCGAAGGTAGGCCGGGCCGGGTGGAGCTCGAGCCCCCGGGTGGGGCCGCGGGCCCGGCCAGGGCGACGGGCTGGGCCCCCAACTGTCCTCAGTGCCCTGCTCGGGTCCTGTTAGAGAGGTCAGCATCCAGTGTGCCTCGACTTGGGCTCCGAGTGAAGTAGGGCGTCTTGCTGGTGATAGGCCCTTCCCGGGAGCAGTCTTCTGCCTGGCATAGGTTTGGGGGAGGGTGAGGAGTGGTGTGCCGGTGAGGCGCAGGGCGGGGATGTGCTTTGGTGTTAGGTGATAGCGGGCGTGTGGGTAGTAGGAAAACTTTGGGTGGGTTTGGAATTAGGTGGGGTTGAGTTAGGACTCGGGGGGTCGCTTTAGGAGTTGTAAAGCGGATTTGAGAGTTATTAGTGAGTCAGGTTCGTTTTGTGAGGGTAAGGTTTAGATTAAGGTCGTTTTGTTTTCTGGGATGGCCAGCATACGTCAAAATTAGAGTTCAGGGTCAGGTTAAGGATCAACAACAGGAATTAGGTTAAAAGCCTGTTTTAGGGATTAAAGAATGTTGGCATGGTCGGTATTCAAGATGAATAGTGAAAGAGTGAGGTAGGGATAAAGTTACAAATGAACTTTAGGCTTAGGGTTCAGCATTTAAGGGTTAAAGTCAGGGAATTTGGTGCTAAAGGTAAAACTTAGGGATCAGAAATTGGATATGGGTCTCTGCTAGGAAATGGATGAGTGTCAAAGCCAGTAGTAGGAATCCAGAAACAAATTAAGTCAGGATTAATGTTAGGAATTAGGAGTAACTCTAGGGGTTGTGTTTGAGTTCAGCATAGCTGACTTTGAGCAGGTAAAATTTGAGAGGTTGGCAGTTAGCTAAATTTTGTTTTGTGGGAGGTCTCTGTGTAGTCAGATGACTAATTTCAGGCCAGGGTTCTCAACTTCAGCTAGAATTGCAGGCAGCTAGAATTCCAGCTTTTTATTTCACTAAGCCTGAGGGTTTTGCTATATGGCCACACTAAGAAGGCAGGGATTGTAGACTCTGTTGTTTATGAAATGTGAGGTGAGGAATGGACCGTAACACAAGAGATGTGCGTGGCCTGGTCATAAGTGGGGGACTGCTTAGGGAAAAGGAGACTGGTGAGTAAGTGGAAAGCTAACCAAGGAAACACTGTTAACATGGGAGCAGGGGATGACTGAATCCCCTGAAAGTTTAGCCCCACTACCTCCCACTTCCTTTATTCTCTAGATATTAAGCCTTGCTGTCCAGTTCTCTTCCCTGACTCTGCATTTCACACCCTTCCTGCCTTCCCCCTTACTGAATGTTCTGCAGCCCTTTAAGTCTTTCCTGCTGTTCATCTTCATATTACCCTATGAATATCCTCTTCATATTATCTCATTTTTGCCTCTTCCACCCCTTAATTCATACATCCTACCTTAATTTACCTTCATCCAAATCTGAGCTTTCCCACATCTTCAAATACTCTCCTACTATTTTCACCCCATTCATATATCTATATACTACTATCTGGTCTTCTGCTGAGTACCATACTACCAGCCCCTGCTATGTGCCATCCCCTAGTTCTAAACCTCTTTTAATTTCTTGATCCAGTTATAGATCCCCTTCCCCCACTCCCCAAAGAAAAGAGGAAATGAGACCCAAAGAGGAAACTGGGTCTTGCTGATCCCACGCCCAGCCAAGCCACTGACCACACCCCCATTTCACTCCCAACTTGACCCAGCCACTGACCACAGCACTATTCCCTACTCAGCCATTCACCCAGCCATTCACCTCCCTTGCCCCCACCACACCCCAATTTCAGCTTTACTTAGAGCCTGACAGTGTCCCTTCAATTCCCCATACTTAGTCCAGCCGAATTTAGCCACTGACCACTACCCACTATGGCCCTGACCTGGCCTCTGACCTCACTCCATCATTCCCTTAGTCACCATCCATATAATCACTCCTCCCCTTCCTCCAGCCTGATCCAGTGACTAGTCACATATGTATTCTTTACCACCATAGTCAGTACTATTGTTAGCCTTTTTCTATACCCTGTCTTCTCCATTCCCAGCCTGATGTAGTCACTAACCCCACCCCATCTGCTGTTGTGTGGCTACTAATCATATACCCATCCCATTTGCCCCAGAACCTAACCAAATCCCCTAAACACAGCCTCACACTCACTGTTCTCAACCCACCCTGATCCTTTCCCCCTTTCCCAATTCCTTACCTAAACTTAAACTGCCCCAGCTACTAACTGGGTACTGAGAATAGGAAACTATGGTACTAGCCTGACTTTAAGCTCTGGTCCCAGAGGTTAACAGAACAGACCGTCATCAAGTCTTGTCAGTTCTACCTCTTAAAATTTCCTCTAAATGACCATTCCAACTCTGGCTTTGTTACCTCCTTAATATGTCTACTAATACTGTGTCCTTCTGACTAATTTCCAAGGTAACTGCCAGAATGGATTTCCTAAAAGCCAATTCTGATTATGTCCCTTTTCTGCTCAAAGACTCCCTTAGCATCTGTTGCCCTGCAGTAAGTAAAATTTCTCATACTCCTCTAGTCTTCTTCTGCCTTTCCATCCTAACCCTGACTTCCCCACCACTACTCCCTTGCAGGTACCCCGTGCTTCAACCAGCCTGCCTGCTAACTTCCCTGAATGCTTCTCCACGATTTCCTGCTTCTCCACCTTTGCTTATGCTATTCTCTCTGGCTGGACTGAATGGTACCCCTGACTCATCTCCGACTGGCTGGTGTAGTGGAGAGAGCTTGGGCTTTGGAGTCAGAGAGACCTGAATTTGGATCCTGGTTTCACAACTTATTATTTGGACAAGTACTTTGAACAAGTATCTAACTTCTTTGAGCCTCAGTTTCCTAATCTGTAAAAATGGAAATGATGACACCTACCTTGCAGGGTTGTTGTAAGGATTAAATGAAATTGTGTATATGATGCAATTGACATAGAGTCAATAAATGGCAGATGACTATTATTTCTTATTATCTTTATTTTTTAAAATTCTAACTTGAAATGATATCTTTCATAGAGACTTTTTCTTCCCCCTTACCTAACATAAAGAGATCTCTCCTTTGACCACACACTGGCCCTTATCACATCCTGCCCTCTATTGTAAGTCTGTATTTAGCTTATCTCCTCATCTCAGGGACTGAGAGCCCTTTGAAGGCAAAGGCTAGGTCTCACTGATTTCGTTCCCAACCACTGAAAGTTTGGCCCAGGGCCTTGTCCACAATAAGTCCTCAAGGAATGCTTGCTGGATTGAATGGAGGGCGAATGTCTAAAGGGAGGAGAAACATTGGAGGCGGGGCAGTGAAGCATGGGGTGTTTGTGATAGAGGGGTATTTGTGGGGAAGGTGTGTTTGTGGGAAGGAGTCCCTGCAAGAAGATAGTACAGTCCTGACAGGATCTGTGTACTGGCTGTGTGATTGAGATACTGTGTTTGTAGAGATGTAAGAGGTGTTTATAGAGGTAGCTTTGTAGGAGAGAACTCTGTGCAAGGCTGAGGTGCATTTGGGGAGAATGAGTGCATATAGGTGTGGAGGCGCTGTGTTGGGAGAAGTCAGGTCTAGCCCTTCAGCTGCCCAGTCCAGCCCTAAATGAGCCTCCAGCAGCCTGAGGCCGGATATGTCAGTCTCACCCACAAACCCTCCCCCCTCCCAGCGGTTGCAAACTCAGAGGCCAAATTTGGTAACAAGACTGAGTGTTACTCCCCCAACCCTCTTACATTGGGACTGTCTTTAGCTTTCTCTCTCCTTTTCCTCTCTAACTCCCTTTCTGCAGTTCCCTTTGTGGGTATCTGCTCTATGTAGTATATTCTTAAAGTACCCCAAATTCCTTAGCCCAGTACACTTACATTCCATTCCTTGCTGGGATTTGACCTCCTGTCCTCTATTCCCCCCCCTCCAATTGCCCAACTACTCTGGAATGCATCTCAGGAATGTATTGAGGGAGGAGTTCCCTGGGAGAGGGACATGGAGGGGTGTCACTGTTCCATAAAACATGAGGAAAGGGGAGCAAAGTTCTGAGGCCAGAGCAGGAACTGGATCTCGGCTACCCACATTTCCAGGGGCCTTGTTCTTTGCTACCACTAGCCCCCAATTCACTGATCAGTTCCTTGCCTCCCATCACCCTCTCACAGCTATGTGGACATCCTCTCAGGACCAGCTTGGAAGTAAGGGAGGAGGCATGACTCAACTCCCTTATCGGGGTCTCACCAAAGACTTCCGTGCTTGAGGAATAAGGGGGTGTCCATATGTCCGGAGGAAATGGGGAGAGACATCCAATTTCAGCTTAAGGTGAAGGGTCC